GGTAATTCCATTGTCTTGATCGATTGTAACCAGTACGATTAAAACCAGGTAGAGTGGAGTTGCTGAACTCTTAGCCGATCAAGATTTGCACCGAGACCGCCCAGTCGGCGCCACGAGGAGGTGGTTCAGCGCGCCGAATTTGTAGAACCACGTTCGATAACAGTATATATATTTACATATGGTCTTCTGCCCTCTACCCATTTTAATATAAATATATATCCAGCCCAGACCGTGCGTAAGACTAGGCTACCTGAACGCATAATTCGAATCTTCTGGCGATTTAACGCGATTCATGTAAGAGATGCACTCATTGCCGAATAATATGGGAGTGCACCGGCGCTACCAGATTCATGTACGATGACAATATATAGGTAAAGTAACATTCTTTGTCATATTCATTTGCGACCATTCACACAGCCAGTAATACCGTTTACTGTGCTCACTAGACTCATTGAATTCGTACAATAACGCGCCGTACGGGTGCGAGTTATCGAAAGTTCACACATCATACAGATTTCAGTCAAGTGATTGTGTTTGTCTGTCGGCCGATCGTGATAGAAGTGCAAGGAGAGAAGGTGAGACACAGGGCTGTTGTAACTAACTGAACCAGACACAAAGGAAGTCAGTGAAAAGTTGATCGATAGTACATCTCGGGCGACGTCTGAGCTCCAATGTCAGTGATGTGTGGTGGCTGTTGGCGAACAAGACGTGTTTCGCGTGCTGTACTATTGTTCACCTTTACAGCGAGCTTTTGTCATTGTGCTCAAGTGGCAGTTACCCAACAGTGCACACGATACGTGACGAAAAGTACAATGTATCTCGGAACCGTGTAATGGCCAACAGACGATTACAGCCTGATTTACTCACTGATGTTACATGCATGTCGTCACCTTACTCACTTTCAACAGTACCATATAAAATCAAATTCTTTCGATTCCCGTTCTCATGTCTTCGGGCATCACAGGATCGTTCCGTTCGTCAGCCCTTCTGAACTGACCTTGAGGAGAAACCAATTTTGTTTGCAATTCAGTTGCCTGATTTGAATTCCATGTTAAGTACTTTGTGTGTATGGTTGCGTGACGTGCACTAGTTACCGCTGAAGTGGAGAAAGTGGGGGGCGCAAAGTAGGGCGAAATACGCAACCACCAAGCTAAGTTTAAGCAATTTGGCTCCATTTACACACTGTCCGTTTCACTGGTAAATTCCTAAGATGTATGAACAATGGTAGTGCACATGAAACACTTCCATACACTGACTTTGTCTGTGAATAAGACGTTTTTGAATGAAAGGTAGGTGATCTTTTGTCTTGATTACTGTATGGACTTCGAATATGAGATTCATTATTGTTGGGGTATTTCACAGTTTCAACATGTAATCATAGTGCTAGTTCCATCACCGTAACTTTATTGTTAATTCGACTGTACACAGTAGTATACAGATCATGTGTGAGTCGAACTGTGTGTGTGTTGTAAACCCTCCTAAACAATACGCTGGTTCGTCCTTGCTATCCTGATGCACTTGGCAGAATTCGGATTCTCCTCCCGTTAATTATTCATACGGAAATCTCGGTCCCGGAAAGTACTGCGACTGTCCCCGTATTCGCTCCCAAGACAAGTCAGAAGACACGTACAAAAAGAGCTTGTTCCGCCCCAAAACATGTGCGACAAAGGCGACAAGTACACAGTTATTATAGGGCGCGTAATGACCACACATTCCCAAGACATCCAAAAGAACGGTTGCCGGAAAAAGAGTTAGGATCGCAAATGAGCATAGCGGTATAAAAAGTCTCGACCGCTTTGAACAGTTCCGCCAAGTAGGGCTGAGTCAAACGTTTTTTTCTCACGACGGAGGCGGCCTAGGACGATAACAGGGTGGGCGCCCTAACAGCGTGCTACCGTGCAGTTTTGCATTTGCGACAATAGGAAACAAGATGTGGTTAACGTTCCTTAACAATGCACGTGCAGCACCGTGAATTATAAACTCCGATTTCAGAAAGCTTATCTATGTAGTCATTCAGCAGAGCGTATTCAAAACATCGTACTGGAAAATGGGTGCGGTCGCCTTGTATCAGACCCATAGTTGATAACGTTATTAACAATATTGAGCACCATACTATGTTGGAAGCACCCGTTCTTGTCCAATCACTGAAGTTAAGCGAGGTTGGGCCGGTTAGTACTTGCTAACAAAAATCAATCTCAAGACCCCTGTTATTTACTCGTTTCGTTCTTGAGCTTCCCCGTATAGTCAAATCACCGATGCTGCCCTACGCCGATTACACAAAACTCTGATGAGTTATAGAGTGCCCGGAAGATGTGGTGACCTTACAAGGCGATCTGTACTGTCTAAACCTGCGGTCCATAGAAAATAACTTGCTGTTAACTGTCAACAAGTGTATGATCATGTATGTTCGCCATCAAAATTGTACCGACTATCACTGTGACGACACAAATCTACTCATATCAGCATGAGAAAGGAACCTAAGTTTGAGTTTGTCTAAAATTAGGCTGCCGTGATTTAAAAAGTCGCAAGTGACCTTAGATCTTTCAGGAAGAATTTGTGGAGTCTTCCGCTTTGAAGTTTTTCCCACTATGTTTGTCTCTATAAGTGCTTTTTGCACTGTTCGAAATAAGTGTAGAGGGAAAATCTGCGAACACACTAAACTCTTACAAGAAAAGATCCTCCCAAAAGGTTGCGCAATCAAAAACTTCTTACTTAGTCATATGCTTCAACGAGGAAAGAATAAGTCTTCAGCTCTTTCTCTGCGACTGCTCGATGGACAGACTTCTTCTGACACTCCAGCTATGGCCGAGTTATTTAGGAGTATTATTCGACAATCTACAAAGTCGTACCGCCGAACAGGCACCACACTCTATCACAACAGAGCTTTCAACAACCAATCCTTATCGTCGAGTTTTCTTTACTGGATGTTAGAAACCTATTATGCAAGGTTAATTCATACAGTGCGATGAGTCGTGACAAGATTCACCCCGGGATTGTCGACGAAGCAGCTGTTGGTCTGGCATAACTCCTTTACAAGCTGCTCTTCCTAATGCATGCAAGTTATGCTCATCTTCAAAGCAGATGATTGGCATTCTCCGGCTAGTTATCGGTCAATCAACCTGACTAGCATTCCATGCAAGATAATGGAACACTCATTAAGGCGCGCCATCCTCAACTACTTCACATCCAATCGTCTTTTTTCTTCCACTCAGCATGGCTTCTTTCCTAACCGGTCATGTATAACAAATATGCTTATCTTCATGGACAATCTGGCAAAGGCGAACGACAATGGCTCCATCTCAGATGTTATCTTCGATTCCACCAAGGCTTTTGATCGTGTCCTAAATGGTCCGTCAGACACAAACTGGAAGCCTATGGTATTCAAGAAGAGGCTCTTCGCTGGATTACCTCTTTCCTTGATAACAGAACTTTTAGAATCAAAACCGGATCAGTTATTTCATCTCCATCTCTGATTTCTGCGAGGTTTTCTCAAGGGTCTGTGTTAGATCCTCTTTTGCTTTTTATCTACATCAAAAACCTTCCGAAGGATATATCCGGCAACGCCGTTCTATACACCGATGACCTAAAAATCTGGAATGCCAATGACCTCAGTGTACTACAGATTGATCTTGGTGTGATTAAGCTTTGATCGGACGATTGGGACCTCCCACTAAATGACAGCAAATGTGCATACATGTCACTCGGTGGGGACTCTGGCAATTCCTTCGTGGTTCATAGTGCGTTCAGCAGAGTAGACATCACGAAAATCGATCTGAAGAGAGACCTAGGCAAGTGGTTGTCGTCTAACTTATCTTCCGCGTATCATCACGAGATGTCCGTAGATAAGAATTTGCCACTCTTGGAATAATGAGGCGAATTTTCCCCCGCATAGACCAGAAGGCGCTTAAAACGCTTTACGGGGTTTATATTAGACCGCTGCTCGAGTATGCGAACCAAGTCGTGCATACCTGCAGTGCGTGTGCCGCGCGCGGCTACCAAACTAGTCAAGGGCTTGTGAGTCTCAGCTTGAGGGTCTCAATCTGTATCCAATTAAATTTCGACGACTTACTGGTGATTTAATTCTCACACACTCCTTTTTTTAGGCGGGTCTCATAGAACAGTTCTTCGTCGTAGCGAATAATGATGGCCGACTAGGACATGCCAGGAAGCCTTACAAGATCCGTCCCCGGGCTTTCCTAAGGCAACAGTTCTTTTATTCTTGGGTTATTAATCAATGTAACAGCCTTCCGCTCAAACTCGTCAGATGCACCTCTAAAAATATGTATATATGTATATATGTACTCAATACGCACCCAGTCAGTTCCAACCCGCTCTGTATATGAGAACCTTGGCAGTGTCTACAATGGTATTTCCAACGTTATGAGTGATTAGTGTTCTGGGTGGTCAGAAATCATTTCCACGGAAATAGATCTCGCCTACTGAATCTGCCCGTTGAGGAAATACCCCCAGGATTTGAACAGCTTTGTCGGGTTCTCGTTCATTGCACAATGGACATAGTTCCGGTATCAATGTAGAACATCATCAGAAAATGCATCCAAATTGGTAAATGTCATAGGGCCAGTAGAGTACACAACGCTGTTTAGTTCTATGCAACTACGTTGAATCATGGATGCCAACAGGCCGTTCGCAGGTGCCGTCATTCGAAATCAGTCTTTCATTACAGGTGTAGAGAGGATGATCGATCATAATGTACTACTCACACGACTACTATTCAGTAGTAGGACCACAGCATATATTTTGACATCAAAGTACTCGCAAGAAAAATACAGGAAAAAACATCGGAGTGCAGTACCACCCAAACTAGTCCTTGCTACGTCTGGCGTCTGGGGCAACCGAGACGGTCTGGGCCGAGTACCGTATGCAAATGAGCGTTTTTCTTTGTGGTCCTGTTTAAGCGCTTAACCCATGTGTTGCTTTCTCGAATGAATAACCCTTGCGCCATCCGCGTTCTTGGCTCACAACACAGATAATAGGGTAGATGTTAAAATCTCAAGAATTATCTCCAGTCACCGTAGATAAGAACCGAGTGAAACAAGAGTAAGTTACTGAGCCGTAATCCACGATAAGCTGACTGAACACGTCATCATTATCGGTACCTGTTAGGCTAAGTGGTCCGAATCTCCGGTCTAGTTTTTATCTTGTGTAGAAACTAAGCGCGGTTCTTGACTATGCTCTAGAGATCCGAATTTATCCGGGACCGCCAACAGATCTCCATGTCTAAGTGATCTCCATGCAAATCGCATAATATGAACTTTTACAGTGGTGGTGGGAATGAGTAAGTGATCTCTTCAACACAGCAGACTGTCAGACGTTGGGTGTAACGTCACTCGGTTTCTAACTAGCACTGAGTGATTTTTAAATACCGTAGTCATCACAGAAGTGACTGTACCGTAATAACTTCTGACTGTTATGATCACCTCCTCTCAGCTGAATAGAAAAGATGGCGGGTTTAGAAGCAAACCACTGCAGCTGACACATTTGAACGTCGTGACAGAAAATCTGCTAGTGGAAGTCGTCTATCAGAACGATGAAGACTACTTAATCATAGTCTGCAAGGGCTAAACTTCATGGTTATATCATCGCTGCCGATGAGTTGGCAACTGATCTGTGCAGATAAAATTAGTATTGTTGGTTTGTAGTAATTTTTAATTTTTTACTAAGCAGATATGTATGCCATTATTTGACAGCCCAGAATGGAGCCGACGCTTCAGTTTGGGTATGCTTTGTAGTTACTGATGACTAACAAGTTGATGATCATTCGCACATAATCGCAGCATTCGTAGACCCATGGAATTTTCAGCAAGACCCATTCGAGAGGATGCACTAGACTCGAGTTTGCTCTTGATAGTGCTCGTCAGTAATGCATATCCTTCCTGGGTTTGGCACTTGTATTCCGGCTGGCTAGCTGACAAGTCTGTTGGAACCAGACGACTGCTAACGGTTACTAGTGTTGCGCCATTTATATAAACCTAATCTCCTAGCACTCATCAGCAAAAAAATCGTTTAACAAGTTCACTAGATCTTGTGATTTCAACTTGAAAAGAGACCCTAATCATGTGATCATCGACTGGGATTGTCATGACAGTTAGTGTGTCTCCATTCGAGGTGATCAGGCAGTCTGAGCAATATTCATAAATGAATGTGATTGGTCATTTACACACGATACTTAAATTGTGCTTAATATGGGGTCATCGGCGCAGTGGTCAATATGGTTGCCTCATGAGAGCGTGGCCGGCGTCTTAATCCAGGCCGTGGCAAGGATATGCACTACTCACGAGCTCTAATGAGATCGAAACTGGAGTTAAGTGCTTCCTTTCGAAAGGGGTCGATTAGAAAGTCTACGGGACTGCGATGGCTGCAATCAGTTGTGAGTGACATTAACCCTATTCAGTAATCTTGACGTACAGATGACTGGATACCATTTCTGTTCCTAAAAAACGCAGACACTGACAATGGGTGCATCGGTAATTAGCATGATAAGTTTGGACATGGAAAATGGGGCTATCTTCGACCTTTTAATCAAAACTTGTACTAGCCCTTAAAAAGATCAGCATTCTTTTATTTCAACACTCTGGTTCGTGCTGTTCAAACTCCGAACACTGGCTGTGCTTCTGTCACAACGTTAGATGTGAAAGAAAACTAGACCTGGAGACAGTTCATCATTGATCACAACTCACCTGATTTTTTGATAACGTGATGGCAATCAACGATTTTTA